CCGCCCGCCTTAACCGCCCGCGCCGCGCGCAGGGGCTGACGCGGCCGCACCGGCACCTGCTCCTGCTCCCGGCCGCTTCCCGCGGGACGGCGCCGGGATCGCTCCGCTCTCCCTCCCCGCGGCCGGTGAGTGCGGGCGCTGCGGAGCCCGGGCCGGCCTCGTCGCGGGGCCGCGCGGCCTGCGGGGGCTCGGGCTCGGGCTTGGCCGGGGAGGCTGCGCCAACTTGGGCTCCTCGTGTCCCCGCTGCGGGGCTGCGTTTCCCCCCCTTTCCCCCCCGCCTTTTTTTTTTTTTTTCCCTTTTCCTTTTCCTTTTCCCAAGGGAGAAGAGGGGTGTGGAGGGAAGGAAAGTTTGAGACAGGTCCGTCTCCCATCAGCGCGTTGTTACAGTTCGGCGGCGCTGGTGCTCGCTGAGGGGCTCCGCTCGCCGCTCCCCATCCGACACGGGTTAATCCCCCCCAATTTTAGTGGATATAAGGGGCCGCGGGTGCCTCGTGTCCAGCGGCTCCTGCCCCGCACCAGGTGCCTTCGCGCTCCAGGGATATTCCGTGCAAGGCAGCTGCTGCTCCTTGGGATCCTGATGGGAAAAGCAGCTTCGGAAAGGGAGGCCAGGCAACGTGTAAGAGCAGCCACAGCCTTAAAAACATCACCAGGGTTTTCCAGAAATCCAGGTTCTTGAGGGCATTTCCTAATAGCGTCCTTGTTTCAGTGTCGCACCAGGAGGATGCAGCTCCCAGCCGAGCTGTGCTGTGCGGGTCCTGTACGAGGAGGCACCGAGAGACAGTTCCTGCTTCAGCAGGCTCAAAATGGGCTAGAAGTGCCCGTTTTGCCCTATTTCTTTACTTTTATGACAATCCTAAGGCTTTAGCAATAAAGTCTTTAAAAAAATACCATGTTTCTCCTTTTCCCCTCATTTTTATGATGAAAGAACAGAAGGAAAGACTTTATTTCCAAACCCTCTTACTAAAGCGTGAGCCTGAGTCTTAACAGCTTTTGCAATTTCTGGCTTAGGCCAATAAAAGATATTATTTTAAGACTCTTTGTATATCCTTGACTAATGCCAGTTTCCCCGTGGACTTCACTGTACCGAAATTGTTACCTCCGTATCCTGGATGTTTTTTTTCCTGCCTTTGCAATAACTACTGCTATGTAAGGGGGGAGCTAGTGCTTAAACAGTAAATTGTTGATCACTTCCAACTCAGAGAAGCTGAGATGCTAATTCCTGCTGAGAGGAGTGGATTTTCCTCTTAATGGAGGGTTTGTTTCAGTTCTGTGAAAACGGAGACTGAATAAGCCTGGAAATGAGCCTGGAAAGGAGCAGGGTAATTCTGAGCGATGCCTCTTTGCGCCGTGGACGGGGAAGCTGTTCTGCTCCTGCAGGTCGGGGCTGCTTTTCCTTGTTTGTGTGCGTGCCTCTGAGAGAAACATTAACCAGGAGCGCTGGCAGGTGGGTGTGCGGGCTGGAGAGTGCACCCGAAGCCACTTAACTCCTTCGCTCTTGGCAAGGATTCCTTGTCCCCCCTTCCAGAACACCGCRGCGAAGATGCGATTGTGGCTTTTGGAGGCAGGCAAGGATGAACTGTCAAATGCTGTCATCAAGTCCCCTTTTATGTTTTAAAAAAGGAGAGGAAAGAAACTTTGATTTCCGGTATCAAAGATGTATCCCTCCCACTTYGGTATGGATTGATTATCCCTTAACTAATGGAAGACCAAAGGAAGAAGTTGCTGCTTTTTTTGCCAGGGTTGTTTTCAGCTCTGCCCAGGTCAGCAGAACTCCCTGTTGTGCTGTAGGAAGGAAATGAGCTTTGAAGTAGCTTCTTTTTGAGGCAAACTCTTCGTTTTTGTGCTTCTGCCCCTCTCCCTATTCTATCACAGCACTTACCAACTGAAGTGCAGGGAAATGACCTAAATGCAACTGCAAGTGACAGACACAGAGTCACTGGGGCTAAAAATTATCCTGCTTTCCTGAATACTTGGTGGAACAGGATTTGTCTCACCTTTGCAGTGACTTAGAGTTACATAATGAAACCCTGAACCCCAGTGATGCTRCTGTAACGAGACAGAAGTTGGCTAATTACAGAGAAGTCCGGGCTTGAAATCACTRATGTGCCCTTCATGTTTCCAAAGTGTTGGTTGTTGGAGAGAACATGGTGGTTGTTGCAGAGAACTTTAAAAGATTTGTGCACTTTCCTTATTGAGATTTGCATAAGCGTGTCTGAAGCCAAAGCCCCTCAGCCATCTCCTGGATGTGTTGAAAGTCCCATATAATGTTGGACCAGACAGTATTTTTATGTAGTTTTCCTTTTAAGTAGGTACCAGTTGTCAAATGTCAACCATGCTCTGCGAGTGAGGGCTTTATTATCCTTGTGTAAGACACTAATCTAAAGAAAAGTAATTACTCGTCGCTGGAGATGGTTTTATTTTTAGTTGGAGCAGGGAGGGGCTCTCTTACTGTAAACGCATGGGAAGTGAGAGCACTTTGGGAGTCTTCCCAGGTGGTTCAACCCACTGTTTTATGTGCGAGCCTTTGCCAGTGGCTTTCTGGGCTTTATGCAGCAGGAATTAGCTGAAGCTGATGCCGGGAGCTGGGGACACAGGGAGTTTTGTTTTCTTTCTCCCAGTCCCCAGATAAATCCTTTCTTGAGGCTGGACCAATGTGCAGAATAACCTTAAATGCTCTCAGGTTAGGACAGAAATCTGTATCGAGGCTTCYAGTGTCTCTTAAAAGCAGCAGCATCTCCCAAGCACCAGGAGGAGGAAGAAGAGACACTACTAGRCTTTTGCTGCAGGTTTCTTGCCTTGGCGTAATCATTTTTGGTAGGTAAAGTAACAAAATGCCAACAGTAAAAGTGTCTCAAAACCTCGAAAAAGGTCATTCTTGAAAATCCAGAAAGAGCAGTCAAGAATGAAGCCTGATCCTGAGCCCTCTTTTTGCTGTCTTGAGGCTTGTATTRGTTTGGTCACAGATGAGACCTTAAGCCCTGGTTTTCAGCAGTGCATGATCTGGCATATTCAGTATAGCAATTGAATTATCATTTGAAGCAGGCAGTGAAAACGCTGGTTTGTGACTGCTTCCTTTCTAAGTGGTTTGCTGCTTTCAATTTAAGATTCAGTTTGTCAAATTAAGCTTCAATTTGGCAAACCATTTAAGCGTGTGTTGAAATATCCTAGTAAAGTCTGCTGGATTTAAGGTTGGTTCAGTTGGTGCCTTCCCCATCTAGTTCTTTTTAAAAGCTTATATATGAAGGATTAATTATTTTACTGTGGGCATCTTTTGCATGTTCTCACTGCATGAATGACATTCAGTGTGTTCCTTAAGACTGAGAGAATCTTTGTTTATATTTTTTCCTCCACAGACTTGAGAGCTACAAAAAATTCATTTTAAAACCTGGGGGAAAAAAAATCATTTTAAAACCTGGGAAAAAATTGTCACAAATGCACTCAAAAATCCCAGAACGTTTAAAAGCAGATACTGGGGACTCTTGCAGTGAAGTCCCTGGCTTTCGAGCAGCCTGTAGTTGTTAACATTCCTGTTATTTAGGTTGTAGTTGGCACGTCTGTTTTTGCCTTGGGAGTGCCCCGAGTTTCTCCTTGGTGAAATTGTTCAAACAAACTCAGCCTCCGCTCTGGAAAATCTCGATTGGGGTTGATATCTCTGGGCATAAAGGAGGCTGCATTGGCAGGCCGGGGGGACCTGCTGCCTTTCTGCTCACGTGGATGTTCTGTGGTGACATTCACTCCCAAACAGGAGCGGGATCCCCCCTGTTCTGGCTGCAGAGCGGGGTTCCCGCGTGTGCCAACGCGACGCACATTCCTGCGAGGTCGAGCACGGCGTCGGCAGCGGTTCCCTCCGCCCGGTCCGTGACTAATGTCGGTGACTCGCGAGTGACGCCAAGGCGAACGCCTCTGCGCCGGGAGAACCCCCCGCGGGTGCTCTTTATCCTGGGATTGGGGGGATTCTTGCCAAATGTTACACTCCTGTAAAGCTTCCGCGCSCCTGTATCATGGCCTGCTTTCTATCACTGGTGGCACAGGCAGCACCATAGAGGTATTATTGCTGTTGTGCATCGGATAGGCCTGGAAACGGGTCCTGTGGTGAACAGCTTCCCTTCTTAATGGCTCTCTGAAGGTCAAGCGGAGCAGCCGCCTGTTGTCCCGCTGTTCCCCCTCGCTGAGGATGGCTGCCTTGTTCCTGAACCCTCGCTGCTTTCCRATCCCACAGAAACCTATGGGGGGCTCTTTGAAGCTCGTTACCTTCTTGGCTACCTCTTAAACCAGCAGTATTTCACTTGCTTAAACTTCACTCGCCTAAATTTGAGGGGATTTCTGTCTGATCCATTGTTAAGGAATGGAATTTGTGTGTTTTATGTATTACAGCAGTGCTGGGCAATGTCCAAACAACTGGTGCTGGTTGCTGTATGAATACGTAGGAATAGCTTCTTCTTTAACACATAGCAAGGGGGTGAAAGAGTAAAATGTTYATGTGAGTGGGGTAGAGTCTTGCTGATGCATGTTCTTAAAGTGATTAAAAACGGGGAGAAAGGTGTTTTTCCCTATTTACAGGCTCAGTCTATCACGCTGCTCTCAAGGGTTTTTCTGGAGTGAGTAGAACCTCTAAAGAAGTGGGAGCTCCAGCACCAAGGAGGACCACGGCTGTAGTGTTTGTTGCTTGCTCTCAAGGTAGAGACTCCTGCCCAGSTGCAGGAATAATCCCTGGGTTTATTCCTCGTTCAGGAGCTCTGTGAAACACCCAAGCTTGAACGTTGGGATGAATGACAGGAACTTGCTGGAAGCCAAGAAACTAATCGTTATTTGGAGCTTCTGGCCCTGCTGTCCATGGCAGTCTGTGACCTCTTGTTATGAAAGGTTTGTGGTGGAGCGTAAAATGCTCCTGAGGAAGCTCTTCTAGAAACCTGGTGGTTGCCCCTCATTGAGGGGCAGAACAAACTTGACATGTTCAACTTGGRCTTCTGGAAGAAAACGAAGGTAGCAGCTTGAAAGTGCCGGTGGAAAATAATACCTGCCTCATACCAAAGGTTGCAGGAATGATCTGCTAGGAGTTGCAGGAATGATTGCTTCTTGATGAATCCTCCATGGAAAGGGATCTTCTCCGTCTGTACCTCACTTGTAAGAACATGGGAAGACATGCAAAGTCAATGGGTGTCTCTTCTGTGAATGTCAAAGGGGCCACATTTTTCACTGATACCCGTTGTCTTCTAAAACAGTAGCTTTCATTTATGTGTGACTATTCTAGGGCCCAGCTCTTGGTGCTGCAGATGGAGCCACTGCTGCAGTTTCAGGCTCGGGTGGCTTTTTTTCCAGGTGAACTTTCTGTTGTGTAGCCTTTGTGGCTGAAGATCAGGTCAATGGCAGCGAGAGCTACAGCAGCTTGAGCAGCGGGTCCCTCTCATGTGATTGCGAATGCAAACAGGACTGAGAACGTGTTTCCAGCCCCGCAGCATCACCACAAGGCTGTTATCCCCAGGATGCTTTGTAATTATTTATAGCTAACGTTATTAATAGGAGAAAGGAAGGATGTTCTTTCCCACAAGAAAGCAAGGCGAAATCTTAATGGTCAGACTCCATGTTCATGCAAGGGCCACCAAATCCTCTTGTTGTGGAAGTGTCCTGCTCTGCTCACGTGGGTTGTGCTTGGAAACCTGGTGGGGCTCTTGCCAGCTGCCCTGCATGGGGTTGTCCTGTAAGGCCCATGTTGGGTGTTCCTCATCATGTCACAGCCCTGTATGGGGAGGAAAGCAACCCCAGGCTGTTGCTGCTCCCTGTTGCTAGATCATGGAATCATGGAATGGTTGAGGTTGGAAGGGACCTCCAGAAGTCATCTAGACCAACCCCCCTGCACACACAGGGTGACCTAGAGCACAGGGCGGCATCCAGGCGGGTTTTGAAGATCCCCAGAGAAGGAGACTCCACAGCCTCCCTGGGCAGCCTGTTCCCGGGCTCTGTCCCCCTCGCTGACGCCCTYGCCCTGCTCTGCAGCCCGATCAGCTTACCAGGAGGCTCCGGTTTCCCAGCGCACGGGGCGAGGGAGGAAGGAGAAATCATCCAATTGAATTGGAAATGCAGCCTTGACTTTGCTTCTCGTGTCCCCTCTCAAACCATGATAAAAGGAGAAGCTCTTGGGCAGTAGGACCATCTGTGCGGGGTCGGGGCAATGGGATCCACTCGCTGCCTTGTTGGGTACAATGTGGTACCTGCGAGTTGTGAGGACTGTGCCTCTACTTTTCCTTAGGCTGGAAAGAAGGGCTGTTAAGGAGCGAGGTGTTTCTTTCTATGGTGTAACGCAAGGCTGTGTTGCCAAGGATGCCTGGATGTGCTGGAGCTGGGATGTGATGTTCCCCTCTCCCCGCTTCCCTCCCCCAGCTTGCCCTGTTACTGCAGAAGGACATTTTTTGCAAATCAAGTTACTTTAGAAGTAACTTGAGAATGGAGAAAAACTTATATCTGCGAGATGGTAACTTTATCAGAGAAATACTGCAAGCCTGAACATTAGAATGGCTTTAAAAAYGTGCTGGCTTTTGCCTCCAGTAAATGCTGGTGCATATGTCTGTACCCCCTAAGCCTCCTCCAAATGTGCAAGTGCTGTTTCTTCATGGCTGAGTGAAATAAAAGCTCTATAAACTTTTTAAAATGCAATTTTGCTGTGTAATGTGATGGCATAAAAATGGCACTCCGTTCTGCTCATGGATCCATTCACYGGGTATGCAGTATAAAACCACTTGACCAACAAATGAGCTAACTGCTACTGTGCTGGGAGAGGAGTTGGCTGGTGTCCCTCAAGTGATCTGCTGAACAGAATTCCTGCCTCAGAGCTCGTAGAAGATGGAACTGTTGAAGCAGAGTCAGTTGATCTTTCAACATTTTGGATCTGATTTCTGTTAATGATGGAAAACTCAAAAGGAACCTGTAGGGCAGGGTGTGTGTAGGGTCCATGGTTGTACATGGAGATACCTGTGTTGGAGGGATATGAAGTGGGATACGGAGCCCTGTTGTAGCAGATTTTATTGCCTTAAGACTTAAGATGCCTGTAGTTGGTGGACATGTGTTTTGGACTCTTGAACATATGCTTTTTATTACCTTGTTTGGGATCTCTTACCCTTCCTTTTAAAGTATTTTAGAAAATCAATATAAATGTAACACRCTGCTTTTTGCTTTCAGAAATGAGTGGAGCGCCCAGCCCTACGTGACACGCTGAGGACGTTCTGCGCCGCCTCGGGATCGGAGTTGGGGCTGTGATGCCCAGGAATCTCCTGTCGGACCTTTCCGAAATGGCATCCGAAGTGTCCCCAAATCACGTGCTTGGGAGCGTGGAGATGGGTGACGGTGCAGAGAATCACAGCACCCAAGCGAGGTGCAAAAATGCTGCCTCGGTAAGTGTTTAATGAGCCTTGTGCTTAATGAAGCCAGTTACATCGGTAGCTTGGTTTGCACCACGGWATTTTTAATTCATAAGCGTTGATCTTTCACAGTTCTAGCTATGAATGGCTGACATGCTGGTTGCTAATTCACTGGAAGACAAGAAATAACTGCTGGGATCTGGTGCAAAGTCTTGTTAATCTGGTCTGACCGTAGCCTGGGGAGTGTTTGTATCCAGATATTGCATTTCCATGGCATTTAGGAGCACGTGTTGCACCAGGCAGCCCAGCGACCCTGCCAGTATGTGCCATAGTGCTCAGGCAGCATCTCTGCTTGTAAAATGATCCCAGGAAAGTGCCTGCTTCTTTGTGCTGTTCCTTTCTTAAGCGTTCTGTTGACATTTGTGAACAAAGGTCTCAGCTCATTCCACCTTCATATAATTAGGTGAGTAAGGAGTATATCACCATAAACAACGTTGTCTTCACCTTAGTGGATATGAGTGTGTGGCCACTTAAATAGCATGTGAGTAATTGAGGGAGTAGGATGCACTTCTGCATTTTTCCAGATTAGCAGGATGATTCAGACGACGAATTTGTGTTTTGCTCTGTGACAGACCAAGCCTAGAAAGCAGGACTGGCTTCTCCTGTGTTTGCTGATTACCATGGCCATCAGGAGAGCACCCGTTTGCAGCTGAGGAAATGACACTGCAGGAAACTTGCTTATGCCAAGTGGGAACCTAAATCTGTCTTGCATAAAGCACTGAATTATAGTTTTCATATTTTCCCCCTCCACTGTCCCTCCTGGGTTTCATTTAGTCAAGTAGCTTGTTGCTACAAAAGCCTAAGTGCTGAAAGGAAGTAGACAGGTTAATATCTGTATTTATCTGTCTACTCAGACATGCTTAGAGTTTCATGCTTCTTAAACTTCCTGGAAACTGGAGATAGTTTTTAAAGTGTTCCTTCTTGGTTGTTTCTGACTAAGTTATAATATCTTTATTAATATTTTGCTGTATCCTTCTGTTTGTATTGTTACTTAAAACACAAAAATATTCCAAATTGAGTTCCTGATCTGTTTCTGAGCTGCCCTAGAAATAAATTGGGAAGGATTGGGGCTGGAGGACAAAGGTAACTCTATCATTTTTGTCCTGGGTTTATACAGTATGTTGTTTATTTTAAAGAAACAGAATTTTAGAGTTGCAGTGGGAGCTGCACTCTTTTATTAAAGGCTTACAAGTTGATTTTATGCAGTACATTGATTTTCATCTTCCAGTGTCTGGAGCTGGTAGCCGGTCGTGTTTCCAGAGGGTTTTATTAGCGGTGGTAGCAGGTGTTGGACTGGGCCTTGTATAAATCAGCGTGTTGGGATGTGATGCGGGTTACCTTAACCCAGCCGGRTCTCGCCATGTGACGATGCATGGGATGATGCATCCGCTTGAATTAGAAACATCTCCTGATCTGCAGGGGAGTCATTTATAGATGGAGTAAGAGTTGACTGTGGTTGCAGGCCATTCCCTTGGGACTTGTGCGTTAGCTAAAGCAGCTCCCGAGCCTGCCCTMCTGCAGCGTCTTGCGTGTGTCTGTGCTTGCAGAGAGGGAAGCACGTGCTGAAAAGAGGACTTCTGCTGCCACAGATCCCTTTCCATGAGATCAGTAGAGGCTCTGTGAGCAGCGTAACGGGTGGCAGGGCTGATAAAGCCCAAGACCAGCAAGTGTGGAGTAACAGATTGGCAATTTGGGCCTCTTCTCCCTTGTTGACGAGGGGAGAGTGTGCCCCGCTCGCCTAGGGTTCAGTGGGTTCAGAAAGGGAATCCACTGCATGTATCTCAACTTATTTTCTCTGTGTTTTCAACAAAGAAATGCCACTCCTGACAGTCTTTCCTCAATGAAGCTGTACTTGCAGCTTTGAGTTATGAGCATTATCTAAAAAGTTCTGCCAGTTGTGCTTGAATAAATGGATCATGAAAAGGTAAAGTGAGAGGTGGTACAGGCTTGAGTGTTCAGAAACCTGTTTTGTTCTGTTGGCTGACACCTTGTGTCTGTTCAGCGCTGAAACAAGCTTTAGAAATCCACAGGACAGAGTTGTATGCTCTATATATAAATGAATACACAAAATACATATGTGAATATCCCTATTATATATAAACATCCTTGTGTAACTGTATATTAAAAGCAGAATTTTTTTGCAGTCCACTGAGCAGATCAGGGGACTGTTAAGATGGGAAGGGAAAAAAAATGCTAGAACATGTTCCAAGAGATATTATAACTTCTTACTTCAGTAGTTCTGTTAAAAGGGCCCCAAAGGTGCACAAGTTCTGATGTAAGAGGGTATCTGATGTAAGAGTCATTTCTTAATAGAGGAACTGTAAGAAATGAGGTAAATTGGAATGTTTGGGTTGTTTTTCAGGTAGGCCAGATTTTTCTTAGACTAGAAACAGAAACAGCTACAGACTTATCTGTCTCTTCATTTATTGCTTTTATAGATCTGCCCAACTAGAGACACAACAAGGGAATTMAGAGTTTATTTTGAATTCTGGTTATGGCCTTGCAAAGGGGAAAAGTGCAGCAGTGGCTTTTATGGTTTGCTGCAGGTCACTTTTTGATTACAGGAAAAGGAGCTCTCGGGCTTCTCGGAGTGTCAGCCTGCCTTAGTCACCAAATAAAACGTGTTATCTGTGTGGAATTCAAACCTCGGGAAGTGATAACGAAGACAAATAATTGGCCTGGCTCTAGCCCACACCAACAACTTAGAGCTGGTTTGGCTGTTTTCTTTGCCTGCTGCAAGTCTGCACTGGCACTGCGGGCTGTGGGACTGGTTATCAGGTCAGCAGTGAGCAGGAGGCAGGAATGAATTGCCTTGTGCTAAAATGGGCTTGAAAGAACAGAATTAAATCCACCCAGCTCTTGACAAATCAGCTGTTGTCAATTTGGTTTCATTTTGCCAGATTTCCAGCTTCGTCTTCTACGTGATGGTGCTTTGAGTTAATCTTTGAGAGCCCCTGCAGTCCTTGAAGCAAAATGCTCTTTCTGAAGCGCAAACAAGGTGGCAGTGTCCTGTCTTGTTTGCAGTAGAATTTTTTCCATATAAATGATAGATGTTCACGTCTGCATTTATGCTGCTAAATTTATCACAGTGTCTAAAGACGAGAGCAAATAAGATCCTACATTGAGATGGGAAGGATGCTCGCACTGACAGCCTTGTCTCCTGCCATCACTTAGCTTCTCTTCCACCTTCTTTTTATGATCATAAGTTACAGGAAAAAAAAAAGAGGTCTTTGAGAACACAAACTTGTATGGACAATTGGCCTTTTTATTTTCTTTTAATAGAGCTGGTGTCTAAAGATATTCTTGGCAAARGTGTGAGAGAAATGTGCTTTCTCCATACGTGGAATCTATCCGAGTGGGAATGTAAACAAACTCGTTCCACTCTGCTTGGGAATTCTGGCTTCTGCCAGCTGTTCTCGGATCATTTCCTCTCTTGCATTGTTGGGAGAAGTAACTTGCAGCACAGCACAGGTGAGGGAGGACACGTCATGTGGAGATGACACTTAGCTTTCTGCGAGCTGTTGATGTTGTTCCATGGACCCAGTACTTGCAAGAGCCACTTCCTAAAGCCAGGCCTTGCCTTTCAGTGCTTCCCTCCTGCAGCTGCTCTGCATATCTCTGCTGGGCAGTGAGCAACTGCTGCAGTTTCGAGGTGTGAATAACATGCTAAGAAAATAGTGTCACCTGCTGAGGTCATGCCAGAAAGTGCTGGGTGGAGCTCAGGTGAGCTGTGCTGGCTCAGGACTGCCTTAATAAGACGTTATATCAGTTACATCAGCTGATAAGTCTGCAGTCCTTTCCTCACCCATGTGCATGTATCTTCTGAGTGTTAATGAACTCCTCATTCCTGCCAACAAACTGTGCTGTAGTTTTTATTATTATTTCTGCCTCTTGTTCAGATGGTTGCTCAGTTACTTTCACTGTTAGTCACGACTCTTTGGGGTGTTTTTTGGGGTGATCAAGTCTTTGTGTGACTTTGTCTTTACACCAGCTGCCTTCATAGTTCCGTAGCTCTGGCAAGGCATGATACTCGCTTTCTGGAAAGGGATTTTCTCCACCACCTTTTATAGTRTAGGCTGGTTAAATAAATATGAAAAGCGTCCGAGTGGATTGATCTGGCTCGGGATCCTCTTTCCCTCTGCCCAACCATTTAACTTGGGGTCATTTTGCAGTTATGCCTATTAAAAGCTAGAAATTAGTTGCTATAGCCTTCATCCTTTTGGACGCTTGCAGATTCCTATATATGTTACATCTAAGTTATATATGTGTATTTCCTTTCGTTTAAGTGTACTTGGTTGCTGTATCTTTGTCCCCGTCTCTCTTTAGAGATTGTTTTTTCTTTTCCCCTTGCTACTGATGTTCTGCAGGTTTTACTTCACTGCAGCCTCTGCCAGAAGGTCCACATACTTGGCCAAATAAAGATGCACAAAAATGAGGAGAATTTTTCTGACCGACTACAGTCTTTGGGCAGACATTCCTTGCAGGCCACGGAGGGAGCGTGGATGCTTCATACTCTTTAAACTGATATTAACGTAGTTCCAGTGTTTGCATCCTCAAAGTTGTAACTGAGTCGTCCTTCCTATGAGCAGGGCAAGAAGTGGAGAGGGAGAGGAGCTTGAGGAGCCCTTGCTGTGACCCCTAAACTGCAGACCTGGGGTGAAGAGCCTGCCTTCCAACCGGGAACGATGCCCCGCCGCAACATGGGCTGGTGCAGATGTTGCTGCAAGTGTTGCCTGGGTCTGTACCACTGCAGGAGCTGTAAATGGCATYGCTCCTGCTTCAAAGCAGGTTCTAGCAGGAAGGCAGCTCTGTCGTTAGCCAGCCCTGGTCAGCATCCCTGAACTTCCACAGCAGCCATCCCAGTCCTCTGGCCCTTCTCCAAGGGCAACTTCTATTTGTCATCCCTCCAGTGGACATGGAGAAGACTTGTTATAATGAAACTGTTCATCAACTTTTCACACCTTAAGCTACATACAAGGCTCTGGCTGCCTACCATCCATTTTCCCTGCCTTTTTTTACCATGTAGCATATCCCATTTTAACCTTCCTGCAAAGCTCCTCTGCCCCCTTTCCAAGTTCAGCAGCTGCATCTGACCTCTGCTCTGGGTGAGGATGTGATGCTTTTTCATCACCCTAGTTAATATATCCTAGAATGACGTTAGCAGAGCTCAACAGCACTGATTTCCCAGCCCTTCTTTAGAGCAGGTTTTCGACTGACCTGTAGGTCCTCTGCCTTACCTTGCTGCTTGGGCAGCTGTTCAGCACTCTGCATTTTCATGCTTGTGGCTTTTCAGTTGAGTTTGATCTTGGGGCCTTCCAGCATATTGATATGGCTCAGAAAAAGAATTTATTCTATTCTGTCCCGTGCAGTTCTTGCAGCATAAGGACATCAGCAGGTACAAAGTAMATTCCCTGCTTCTGTTAGTGACACAGAATGGGGCTAAATCTGCTGCTTGTGTTTCATTATCCAATTTTGGATACATAGTGCCCCTCAAAAACAACAGTTTCTTGATTTCCACCTTTTTTTTCCCCCCTCAATTTCTGCAGCCATTTTCCAATAACTTAATCTAGCTTAGTTTCTTTATCCATCAGTGCCTGCATTGTTTGGGATCGTGTTGTAAAGATTTAAACCGAGGTATGTATCACAGCTGCTGCTTATACCTATTGCTCAAGTCAGTAATTCTCTTAGGAGAAATCAGCTTTGTAGAACAGAAACCACGTTAGCAGCTTTTGTCTGGAAGTATTTTAGTATTTTCTCAAAATACTTGAATATTTTCTCAAAACAGAAATTGAAAATGAAGAAAAAATTTCAAGCAGATCAGCCAAGCTCTTGATGACCACAGAGGTCTTCAGAATTTACATATTGCTTTAGATTTTTTCTTAAAGAAACCAAGTAGGACTTGGTCCCTAATCAGTCCTTTCTGACTTGAAGTCTGAAAATATTTTTTGGTAATTTTGTTTCAGCAAAATATGTAATAAACAGGTCATAACTGTCAGCTCCTGTGAAGCACACAGGTGCAATTATGGTCATAAACTGAAGAAAAACGGCATGCAGTATTAGAGACTTCTGCCAGATGAAATGGTATCCCCAGAATCGCCAGATARAGGGTTGCAGAGGAAGCGCCGTTGGACACAGCGCTCGATTACAGGAGGGAGCCACTTAAATGGGCCCAAATGGGCCCAAACAGCAGGTCGGCTTCGTGCCGGAGAAGCTCRTTAGGGGCTGCTAAAAGCACTGGTGCTGATGCAACTTAAGACTTAATTGCGATGCTGGGAATGGGTAGGATGGAAACGGGATACGAGTGCATCCACCCTTCGCCACCCTGGGCATCCATCCTTGGTGGCTCTCAGCAGAACCACGAGCTAAACAGACTTTTGGTGTGACCCTGTAACCCTGCTTTATAGCTCGAATCCTCTTGCTTGCAGCTGAACAGCCCACTCTGTTTCCCTTTTCTCTAAATACAATCAGAGGTGCTTTCCTTTTTCTTCGCTTCTGAAGCTTTTGTACCTGTTCTGATACTGTTCCTGCATGCAGGATTTTTGTGTTCTGTATGTTTTTTCCCCCCAAGTAGAACTTTGCACYGTGTTATTAGCAGGCTGCAATCTAAGTGCTGCTCCAGCCGTCTCATCCTACCTCCTGGAACAGTTTGCTCCCTTCGTGTTTCCTACAAAGCCTCCAGTCATTCCCTGCTCGCCCGTGGCACGGTGCCTAGGAAATCTTTGGCATTCTGAGATGATTGAATCAGTTGAGTCCAGTGTTCAGGGGGTATTTTGCCAATTGAAATGTAGTCGTCGATTTTCTAGCAGTTTTCAGGCATTTTTAACCCCTTCAGGTGCTTTGGGGCTTCTCCCACCATTCTRTTTCCTCTCCAAGCCTTGGGATCCTGGGTCTGGATGTGCACAGAGTTTTGCCAGGTTCTATTCATGACCTTTCATTCTGCTCCATTCCTCTTCTTTGAGGGCTGGTAGGTGCAGCCAGCTTCATGAAAAAGCCATTTGGGTATAAATTAACTTCACATTAATTGATTGTGACCACGAGGCAGCCCCAGGAGCCCCTGGCTTCCCTTCCCCTGGAGAGTCATCGGAGGCAGCTCTGGATGGGAACTGAACCACGGCACAAACAGCAGGTTTGGAGCAAGAGACTTGGTTTTAAAGCTTTCTGTGGCCCTTGGTAGTCCCCGGCTCTCTAAGCCAGGTAGAAAAGGGATCTTTTTCTGTGAAATGGGCTCTCTTCATAGCAAACGCCATCATAGTGAGACTCTTTCCTGTTAGACCAGGCCAGGAAATGTTTGGCTGCAGAGAGCTCTAAAATATTAATTCCAGCGGCTGTTTCGGCTGTTTGTGTCCCAAATTTCTTGTGTCCAAGCAGTGTTTTTAACCCTCAGCTAAGACACACTTTGCCAGTTCCAAACTCCATGTGTCTGATGACTCTGGCGTTGGAATTGGGAAGTGCTACGAGGGTGTCGTGGGGGGGGTGGGAGGCAAGGACTCCGTAACGCTTGTTGTAACTGGCACCACTTACCATAACAAAACTCATGCCATCTTTCTGAAGGCTCTACTGTGATTTCAGTAACAGGAGGGGGCTTTTAGTAATATCCCCCTGTTCTCAGACCCTGTGAATWCCTGTCACTGCTTGCTTTACTTCTCCCTGGGTTTGACAGGCTTGAATACAGGTGGGTTTATCTTCAGTGTGTCCAAAGTGGGATTATTTCCCATCTGCAGAGCAAAACCTGCCTCTCCTGCTGTGCTTTCAGGTGAGGTGTCACATGCAGTGATCTGCCCGTTGTGGAGAGCTTGGGTTTCTGAGGAAACGTCGTGCCATCGGCCTCCATCTGAGGTGACATTGGCCTTTCAAACCCAGGAAAGCCGCTTCCCGCAGATCCAGTTGCCCAAAGGATGTTAAACTAGTGTGGGAACCACCAAATAACTGCATCGTGCTCAGAAAAGCTGCAGCCACAGACCTCTTAGCCCAGTTTATTTATTTATTTATTGCCTGAAAATCTGGCTGTCAACATGAGCTCAGCCTCAGGCAAAGCCTCTTTGCACCCTGTTAGGCTCAAGCTCAGACCTACCCAACAAAGACTCTTTTCCTGCCATTCTCTCCGGGAGGCCGAGCAGCCCTATGAGTATTTGGGTGGAGAAAGGAAGGAGATTGCAACATCCACGAAGGAAAGAAAAGAAGGCTTGTCTGTCCTTTTGCTTTTTCAAGGGCAGCTGTAAAACTTTCCTTGGACTTTGAAAACTCCACTCTGCCATGGTGGGTGCGAGCGGGGAATACGTCAGCCTTTGAAGTGAGTGCTTTAAATAACCCATTCCTAATGACATCCAGCCTGGAGGCTTTGCTGCGGTTTCCCTCAAGCTGCAGCAAGTTGCAGTAAGTTCTGCCAGTGCAATTTGGATGCTAAAATCCGGTTACRGGCACCCCCAGTCAGATATATTTCCCTGCCATTGAACCACGTTCACCCTGGTGACAATAAATCGGGGTCTCTAGAAGCAGAGCTGCAGTGTGAGAGGTCGGTACAGCCCTGCAACACCTTGGCCTTCTGTCTGAACCACAATTCCTGTGCCCATTGCAAGGCCTTGTGGCTGCAGCCGCATGTCCTGAAGGCTGAGAACTCAAAACCCAAATAGGGCCTTAAGGTCTGCAATTTTTTCCTTCCATTTACAGGGAAAATGTTCTGCTGTCCACACGGGAGGAGGCAGCTCTGTGCCCCAAAGCGTTTCCTCTCCCATCCACAGTGTTTTAAGTAATTAATTGCCACAGGGCTCAATGAGGTACTTAACAGCTCTAAATCTAGGGACATTGCTGYTCTACAGAAGGACATTGTTCCTGATTTTGGTGCTGGGATGGAGGTAAAACAGAGTTTGCAGTRGGGACTTAGGGGTTTTACTTAACAGATAGGCTTGTACAAACTTTTTTTCCCTTCTAATGCAGGATGATTTGTACAGGCTGAGCAGGTTTGAAGCAGGTTGCTGTCCTAGCAAGGAAGTGTTTACCCCATAGATATCTGCAGCCCTTAATGCCCRATCATCCACTGGAAAACCTCCTTACATCCATTATATTCCTGGAGCGACTCAAAGCAGAGCTGGGAACCAGCCCTTTCTGCTCTTGCTTTGCTGGTGTCCTGTTATTAACCTAGTGGTGGCAGAGTTCCCAATGTGTGCATGCAGGGAGAGAAACGCAGCGCAGAAAAGGGAAAAACTCACTTGCTTTTCAACAATACTTCTTGGCACTCCAGAGCTTACATAGCTTTCCTGGGAAAAAGTCTTTCCTGCAGCCATTGTCTTAATGTAGGGCCTTTCCTAATCATTCTCCGTCATCTCCCAACTGCTGGAAAAGTATTTCCCAGGGTGTAGGTGGTGGGGAGGTCTGCSTGCTGCTGCTTAGGCTCCCATAGCAGTGTTATGTTAGTCAAGAGCAGTGACTCGTAGAGAATGAAGACTGGAGGATCCCAGTAGTTACTTGTCACTTCTGCACTGTATAGGATGGTTCCCTGCTGAGGAAAATAGCGTAAGGTGAGCACTGCTAGGAAACGCATCTTCGCATTTATCGCCTAAACATTTTTCTGTAAGAAAAATACACAAATGGACACAAGAAACATATGCAAATGGACATTGAATGAAGAAGAATAATTTATTTTAAGAATAAAATATCTATCATTGTTCTTCAGGCAAAGGTGACGCACTGTGAGCTGACTTCTGCAGAACTGCAGTGATCRTCTGTGTGCTCTTGGAGGAGACAATCAGGAAGCCCAGGATGCTTCTGCTGTGGCTGCTGCTTGTTGCATCCTGCCTCTTTTTGTAAAGAGGAGGCTGTGGTTTTTATAGGGGTGCTTACCCGTTATCGTCCTTAATATTGTAATTTACATGGCCATTTTTTCCTTTTCTTCCTTCCCCTCTCCCAATAGGACGATGAGAGGCTCAAATACTTAACTCACGAAGAGAAGGATGTTCTCATGTTCTTCGAGGAAACCATAGATGCCTTAGATGATGCCTTGGAGGAGCCAGCCCTGCCGGACAGCGGCGTCCACTCCCAGTCCCCAAGGTCAACAGAGGAAAACGTCTCCAGCCATTCGGAGACCGAAGACATCATTGACCTGGTGCAGTCCACCCCTGATGGTAGCGACCASGAGGACCCTCCTGCCAGAGATGCAGAACCAGGTAGTGGCACCCTTGGAAGTGAAGCTTTCCCTGTGACTTAGCCCTGGCATCTCCGAGCTCTCATGAGAACCAGCTAAAGAAACTCTGTGTTTCCTTTCCTGCCTTGCTGCTGTGACTCTGTCACATACCAGGAGCCCTAAGGAGTGTGATTAACTTAGCACTGGGATTGAGGGCTTGCTGGATTGCTTCCTGCTCCTCTGTCCTGCACAGGTTTTCGTGCACGTGGTTAAATTGCTGGGCTGCCAGCTCCATCTCTACCCAGTGACTAAGTTGGAACAAAGCTGAGTATTATAGAGTCATCACAGCAAGGCAGACTAGTTTTTATCTATGTGTTGGCGCTCTGCTTTTTCCTTAAAGATCTCTTRGGAAATCTCTAAAGGCTTTCAGATGGWCAATTGTTTGTAGTGGCACATTGTRGGGGACTTAAGGGCATGTGGTCCTGTCACAAAAAATACTGTGTGACGAGGGGCACCTGGGGTGTTTTTCTCCTCACTGCAGAACTGTGACTCCCCACTTCTGGAGAGTTCATTCCGGTTGGTGCCYGCTCTGTTAGGTGATGCAGCACCTCCTGCCTGCTGTAGACACAGCAGGAAGGCAAAAAATGCCGTAGGTGAAGCGGCCCCTGGAACACAGTGATGCCAACATGAGGGTGTGGGTTCCCGGCCAGGAGGACTTCAGCAGGTGCCTTGCAAACCTGGGTAACCTCAACCGTAGCCTCTCCTCCGAGATGGTTTTTCTGGCGTTGTGGGCTGATTTCTGAGCAGCAAATTCAGAGGAGATTATAGGGGGCTGTTAATCCCAGTGAAGGAAAGCTTTATATTCTCCCCTGTGTGAGGACTTAATGAGATTATTGCTGATTTTCATTTTAAGTGCTGGATTCTGCCTGGAGACCTGATAGCCCCAAGGCAGCAGTGCCTGCCGACCTGCCCTCCATGCCACCACCACGAGACATGCTTCCTCCTCCTCCTCCTCCTCCGCTGCCCCCGGTGCAGCACCCGAGGCTGCTCCGCTCCGTGCCCACTCCGCTCGTGATGGCCCAGAAGATGTCGGAGCAGCAGGGGGAGAGCAGGGCGCGCGCCGCCAAGGAGGGCAATCCGGAGCGGAGGAGAGCGCCGGTTCCCAACGGGGAGCAGGCGGCGCCTGCGAAACCCCCTGCGGCGCCGGCCCCCAAACTGCACCGCTTTCCCAGCAACATCAACATCACCAACGTGGGCGGCAGGGAGTTCAGCGAGACCATCTCCAAGGCCGCGGTGAACGTGCAGGAGCGGAGGGCTCAGGTGCTGGCCAACATCAACGGGGGGGCCCTCCTGGCGGCCGAGCTGGAGGAGAAGCTGCAGAGAAACGATTTGCTGGGGCGCCACAGGAGTTCTTCCCTGCGGGACCTCTCCTCCGAGCAGGCGCGGTACGAGGCCCTGACAAAGCTCGGCCTAGTGAAGGGAAGGCCGGCCCAGGAGCACGGGGATCGTGCGCCGGGAGCGCAGCAGCCCAGCGACGGGCAAGCCAAGCAGGCCGACGCTCTTCCCAACGGATACCAGAACATCCATGAGATTTTAAGAAACGAGCCCAGCCCTTTCCTTCCTCTGGGCAAAACTGTAGCCATCAAACCAGAGGTGTCTCTTGCTGCCAACAAGGTCGCCCCGCAAAACACAGCGAAGGATTTTCCTGACCATAAACAGCCTCCCGTGGGGCTGGATATGCGGAGGCGGTCGGGTTCGCTGCCTCGGCCCTCGGGSTTCCGACCCCAGGGGGTCACAGTGAGGTTTTCTGGCCGGGGCTCCACAGAGGAAGCCAGAAGGGAGGCGCTTCGGAAGCTGGGACTGCTCAAGGAGACGGCGTAATCCCCACGGGAATCCTGCAGCAGCGGGGGGCAAGTCGGAGCGTGGGTTGTGCTAGTCCTGTCCCAGCAGGATGGGGAGTGAAGGGACTGCAAGGAAGAAGGGGGAGTCCTCTGTGCGCCCCTGCCTGAGGCAGCCGAGGACACTGTGACCCTGCGACGTGCCGGCTGGTGTGGAACCCACCGCAAACCCTGCACGTGGGTCGTGGGCCGCGCTGGGGTCCGGCCCTCCTGCTGCCGCCGCGCTCGCCTCGTGTTCCTTGTGGCTGTGAAGAATTTTATTTAAGTAATGCTGGACCGGAGCGGAGGGCATCCTGTTGATGAAGGTACAGTGCAGTATTGGTGTACATAGCAGATGGGATGGAGAATCTGCCTTTTGCTCTGCTTCTCTCGAGCCAAAAACGAGAGCTCTGTCCGTCTTGCACCCACGGGGGTGTCTGTTCATGGGAGCTCGAGACGCATCCAAACCCCGAACTTGGACCAGGGTGACCAATTCCTGTGCCCGTTTGCCTCGTCTGTATTACCCGGCTCTGCTTCCTTCCCTGCTGCGGTGGGATCCTCCCTTTCCTTGCTCCGGGCAGCCTCCACGGAGGCAGCCTCCCTTCCGCCCTTCTCCTGGACAGCGCGGCCCGGGTTTGGAGCTGGCGCCGGCCTCGCTCCGTCCCGGCCTCCTGCAACAGCTCTGTTATTTCTAATAACTGTCTCGGCATCTTCCCCCCRGCCCTCCTGCAGAGACGGCCTGATTTGATTCTGCCCTGCCAATACAGACAGAATTAGCCAAAACCCTCTYGGGCCAAGCGGCGTCACCGAGCACGTGGCCAGGAGCCGAGAGCTCCCGAGCGGCGCAGGTTGGCACGTCCTGCCTTTGATCACTGCATGTGCTTTGGAAGACGGTCTCCTTCCCACCCCAGAAAACTTATTGCCTTGTTGATAGGTATAATTGTTTTTTTTTGTACATGGCAAAGCTGTTCTTCCCAAAGAAAACCCTCTTCCCGTATTTTTCACCCCCAAACCTCACAAATAGCCATTTTAAAGACAAAATGCCAAAATCACCACCCCCTCCATCCCTCCTTACGCGTTGGAGAGCACTCGCACCTTTTCCTAAAGGAAAAAGAAAACCCCCTCACTCACCCTCCGCACTTCCCAAGGCCTCCAGCAGCCCCTTCCTCAGTTTTTTCCCTTGCTCCATAAGTAACAAGCGCTGGAAAAGCAGCGGGGAGCGTCCGTGCAGAATCCAGCCCGCCCCTCACACAGGGGCCTGACGTGGCCGCGACCAACAGCGTCGCGCTGCCCGCGCGTCCCGGCCGGCTGTGCCTGGCAGCCGAGGGAGGGAAAACCTGTCCCCGATTGCCAGCCTGCCTCAAAACGTTCAAGTGTTTCAGATATATATATATATGGTTTCTAATTGTCTGCTTGCTGCTTATGTTTTTAATTGGGGTGTTAGGGCATCCACCTGGGTTTTTTTTTGTGGGGAAAGCACTCATGTTCCCCCTGTGCAGCAGAGCTGGTAGTTAAAAACGTGCCCAKGTGTGGGCTGGCCAAGCACTTGTGCCGTAAGCCCCTCGGGAACATCCATGTAGCCGCTCCACAGCTGGCACACGGAGGTGCAAGGTGCCGAGCTAGCCGGGTGGGGGTCCCCATCCACCCCAGCAGGAAGGGAGCGTTTGGGCGTCTTGGGATACGTGGATTCCTGCGGGAGGAGCCACAGGAGGATGTCGCTGCTGCCCTTCCCGTAGCAGCCACCCCTGGCAAAACCCTCACTGTGCCTGAAGCTGTAGTAAGTAAAGCCATTCACTATATGAAGTTCAGAGTATAGCTGCTAATAACCTATATATATATATATATAGTTCTATTTTGTGTACCTTCTTTTGTGTGTATATGTTGCTGTGATTCCCTCCCCCGCCGCCACCGTGGTGTTGTATGTCGCTGTCCTGCACAAATTTGATGTCACCTGATTAAAGTGGGATGAAACCAATGGAAACGATGGCAGGTGGAAAGCGGGTGTTTGTCCTTTGCCGACAGTMGCTGACACGCAGCTTGCTTGGACGGATGGGATTTTTATTCTTTTTTTGAGTAGTTAATACCCATTTACTAACTGTCCTCTTTGCAACGGCGGATCGGTGCGCGCTCCTGCGCCGGGGGGCAAAAGGCAGCAGGAGCGAGAGGTAATGCGGGGTGTGCAGCAGCGTGGCGGCGTTGGGCCCACAGACCCTCCCCCAGGCCCCGTGGGTGGCCGTGCAACGTTCCCGGCTGCTCCCTGCAGCTCCGCGCGCAGGAGGAGGCCCCGGCGGCACCAGCCTGCGGCTGAGGGGCAGCCCCGGCCCCTGGCCCCTGCAGGGAGGGAAGGGCTTTCGGATCCCAACTGGTGGCCGTGGGCGTGAAGAAGGAAAACGGGGGGAGGGGGGGGTCCCGCAGCCGAGCAGGGCGGCGCGGGAGGATGGAAGACACCGGCAGTATCTGGAGCGGGGACTGGGCCGCGCCGGGCAGGGGGAGCGGGCGGTTCCGCTGGGCAGCGGGAGCAGCAGTCGGCTCGGGAGGTTCTGCTGCGGGAGCAGGGCCAGGACAGCTCCACCACTCCCTGAGGCAGCTCCCTAAGGGGGGGGCTCCCCATCCCGCTTCCAGCACGGAGCCCAGGATTCCAGCGCCATTCCCAAGCTGCCGGCGCTGGGAAGGAGGCCGGGGCATCCCGCCGGGATGCGGCAGGGGCTGCTCCCAGCCCCGCTTCCCCTCTCAGGTGCCGTCCCAGCCCCACAGGGCCCGCGGCGGGAAGGTAACAAGAGGGGTTGGATCCGAGTGCCAGGTTTAACAGGAGAGCAGGGAGCCACACGGAGCAGCTTCCCACTGCGCTCCGTAAATGTTTGCCATTAACCGCTGCCCTTGCAGTTAACCCGGCTCCAAGGAGGGCACAGCAGGGTGGCTTCGGGCCACGCGCCAGGCTCCCTGTGGCGCTCTGGACATTGGACAGACTCCGTCCAGCTGTGAAACCTCCCGCTTCCCGGCGCAGGGAGTGCGCAAGGCCGGATGAGGGGAGCCCTTCCCGGGAAGCTGCTCCGCTCCCACCCCTCCTTGGACCTTTCCCCCTGCTCAGAACCYGCTTCCAACCAGACCCACCTCCGGAAGGTGCTTGGGAGCAGCTGGGGCACCTGGGTGACGGTGCCGAAGGGTCCGACGAGGGCCCAGCCCAAGGGCCTGCGAACGAGCGGGTAGTTTAGGTCCTGGCCCGAACCCCTGTGTCCCTGGGTCCCTATCTTCCAAGCAGGATCTATTTACCAGCCACTCTTTGCAAGCTGGAAACAGAAGGATCATCAGTTACTCCAGGCCTAAATGCAGGTGGGAGAAGGGGGCACGAGCACCGAGCAGCAGCTCAGTTCCGTGTCCATGTCCGTGTCTTGTTGCTTTGTGCCCCACGTGGGCGGCAGAGGATGTTTGACCCATCCAGGGCCCACCGGCTGCTGCCAGGAGGTTCCCAAGCGCCCGGGGAGGCCGCCCTTGCTGCACAGCGGTCGGGTCCTCGCCAAGGCCTGATCAACTCAGCGATGCAGACCAGGGGCCACGTAGAAACAGTGGCCTTGCAGCAGCAGCAAGTGGCTTTTCCCAGTGTTTGGCACCTGGACACAAGTGCTGGGGTGGCTGCAGCCCCCTCTCCTGCCCAAACCAGCACCGCGGTGGCACAAGTGCTGCTGTGGCAGGATGGACTCGTTTCAGTCACAGTTTCCTCCCCCRAGAGCAACCCGCTGTAACACCCCTGCTTGTGTTGGACTCGAGCAGCCCGTTCACTTCATCACCACGTTCGGGAGCTGCTCCCTGTTCCCGCGCCAGGAGGAAGGTCTGAGCACCAGGAGGTGCCTCAAGCTGCTCTCCGAGTTCACCGCTGTTCCCAGGGAGCACCCGCACAGGCCCTTGCAGGAGGGAGGGAGACCTCACAGGGAAAYGGCCATGCCCAAACACTCACCAACCCGTTTCCCTCTCTGCTGCATAAGCCAGGGCAGGAGAGGAGGAGGGCATTAAGCTCTGGTGGCATAAACCAACTTCATCATCGTGCAGCATTCCTGCCTTCCTGAGGGATTTAGGCGGCCTGAGGAGGTTTCATGTTTATTTGTGACACGAGTTTTCCAGTGCACCCAGGCCGGGAAGCTGGTACCGTGTGCGCAGCCGAGCGTTTCCTACAGCCCGTAATGAACCTCACTGGGACCTTCCTCCACGCATCTCACCCTGCGAAACCAAAGGATGGTTCCATCTCACGGAAGGCAACAGCTCCAGGTACCGGGAAACATGGAATGCGACAGGGCAGGGGAGGAAGGAGCCCTGGGAACAACGGGCCGCAGGAGTGGCGCCTCTCGCTGTCACCTCTGAGGAATAAGAGCCCCCCGAGTGCCAGCACTGCCAGCGGCATCRCCCCCGGAGCGGGAAGCTCCTGCGGGAGGGACCGGGATCTGGTGCCTTCCCGGAGCAGCTTAATTCCCAGCAAGGATGAGAATAGCCCTCCCAGGTCTGGGAGCAAGGAGACTCCTCCTGCCTTGCAGAGCCCAGGACGAGAGCCCAGGACAYTGCAGGTCCCTCCAGGCGCCGGGAGGCACCTCTGGCTCCCTGGTTACGTGGGATTCATTCCCATCGCTCCAGCGGGACAGGTTCCAGTGGCTCCTATCAGTTTAATGACCACTTACAGGATTAGCACAAGGGAGATGCCCAGCACAGGGTGGAGCAGGCAGCTGCTTCCCAAGCCCTCTGCTCATTAGCTTAATAGAAATATATATTATTACATATATATGCAATTAGATATATGTAATGTGTGTATGCATATATGATAATCATATGCATGCATAAACAATCATGTTAAAACTGGCTGCTCGTGGGAACAGGACAATGAGCTTGGCCAGACGGGGTCCTGGGCCAGCCCCAGCTCCGCTCCGCGAGACGCCAACCCCCAACTCCAGCCATGGAGACCGAGGGGKTGGGGTAGCTTTTTCCCACCCTTATTCTTCTTTAAAGTGTCACAAACATTTTTCCTAAGCGCCTGGGGCCTTGGGTTCAGTTACGGGAAAGCAGGAAGGAAGGAAGGAGCCTCTTCAGCGAGCGGGGTTTGTTCTTCGCACCGGATCATGAACACGGAGCGTTTCCACCTCCCCCCCGCAGCCCAGSGGCCGGGGAGCCAAGTTCCCAGCTCAGACAACAGAGCGGGGCTGTCGACATTTACTCCCTTGGCCGATTCCTGCCCCAACCGTTTCCTATGSACGTTTCCGAGGGGCGGGAAGAGCCTGGGGCCGAACGTTCCCAGCCGAATGTTCCCAACAGCGACGCGCTCCTGGCGCAGGGCAGAGCGGCCGCGGCCCCAGGTCGGGCTCGGGACCCTCACCCCAACCTCTCYTTAGAAAAAGAGCCCCGTAAAAGCGTTCCCAAAGGTCCAACCCAGCCTCGTGTAACGCACCGTGCTGATGGAAACAAAGCAGAGCTAACGCTCAAGGGGGGAGGGATTTGATTTCTGTGCAGTTAGTGGGTTTGGAYGAACCGAACGCTCAGAACTGCGATTCAATACAAAAATCCCCACATCAGAAATAAGGAAAACGGAATTAGCAGCAGCACAAAAGCTGTGTCCYTGTGTCCCACGGGCACCATGGGACTGCGCCCAGGGCTGCAGTCTGGACCTGCACAGTCGCGCCCCCACTTCCCTACAGAAATTCCCAATTCTGCAGAAACGGAAGGAATTTCGCAGGAATCCGGAGAAACGGAGCCACAGGGAGCGCCCCGAAGGGCTCCCCGCRGGGAGGCGGCGGCGGGAGACGCTCGCGGACTTACGGAGGCAGCCTCTCAATGACAACACTTTATTGCAGCATTGGCAAAGGTCAGAGTTCTGAAGCTGGTGAAGATCGGGCGGCATTTCCCTATGAAATGTTACAATTTTACACATCTCTTCCTACATGCAGAAACCAAAACCAGTGGTAAAAAGAATTTTAAGAGAGCTAGGAGAGAAAAAAAAAAGAAAGAAAAAAGAATTAGTAACATACAGATGAGCTCCTTAACTGAACAAGCTACCTCTACGTGAAAGCAAACAAAAACCTATGCTAATAAATAACAGATTGTCAGAAACAGACCAAGAAACCTCATTTCTACTTAGAAAAAAAGAAAAGAATTCTACTCGTTTCCAGACTTATTTAAATCTTTCTTTAAAACTTTGTTTCAATAGACACAGAGGCTCATCAACCCATGAAGATCAACACAGCACGTGGATCCGCTCCCCGCCGTCCTCCTCACGCCGACTGGCACGTTTTGGTTTTCAATGGTACTTACAATGGGCTCCGTTTTATCCCTGTTCTTAGGCTGGTGTCAGGCTGCTCTAAGCAACAGGGGTCAACACCCTGTGCTGATCAACTCCACAGCTGGTTTTACACCTTGGCAGGCGTTTTACCTCCTTGGCTCTCCGGTTTTCCATCCCTCCCCATCYCAACCCCTCTTTCTTGCTTGTCTTCTAGGAGAAAAAACAGTTATTCCTTAAGCAGAAACTCTCTCTCTGAGGAGAATCTGATGTTTGGTAACGTCTGAATGTTGCCGTCCTCCACGTCAGGGTTTTCTGTTGGATTTTACTGGTTGCTCTAGACGTTTCTGCCGCAGATTGGGAGCCCCCACGAGCGTCCCCGCTGCCCCATGCAGTGACCGGCGTCGCGTCGAGGACTCGGCTCCCCCCGCACCGAGGGCCTCTCCCCTTCCCGCGTCATCCGTCCTCCTTCCGAGTGGATCCTGGTTTTCGCTGGTCAAGTTAACCCTCCCATTCACATCGTTCCTGCCTCATGAGAGGATTAACCCTCACGCCGTCCCCGTAGCAAAATGCTTCTGTG